TTTGAAAATGAAACTTGGAAAATAAAACATAAGAGGTTACAAAATGTTTTCAAAATAATAGGTTCAACTCCATATACAAATACAATTCATGTCCTATAAATCCTCTGCCCCGATGTCACAATATCAGAGAATACCCAAAAATCAACTGTTGGTATTCTAGATGCCACTCAAAGCCAGATCTTCCTCACCTAAAACATCCACAAATTATACGGTGAGAAAAGAAAACATCTATATGTAAAACACATAAGGAAAACACAACATAATCTCATCATTATTCATTACTTAATGAAATATTCACAAGCATTTATATACATATCATAATTAACAATCATTTATCATCTTCACATCTCAATCCACAATTTCATCAATCCATCACAATCCACACAAATCTTACAATTAACACTATGCCAAGGCCACGCCACAACTGACGTAAGTGATTCGGGTTAATTGCCTCACTCATCCCACACCACGCCAGGATCACGCCCTCCCTGTAGCATCACTTACCTAGGGGTCGTGCCATCCCTGGTCATTAATGTAAGGAACCATAATCACATCACAATCCACACTATCTCTTGTAATTAACCCTATGTCAGGGCTGCCATATTTGACATAAGTGATGCATGTCAATTGTCTCACTCATCCCACACCACGCCAGGATCACGCCCTCCCTGTAGCATCACTTACCTAGGGGTCGCGCCATCCCTGGTCATTAATGTAAGGAACCATAATCACAATCTTAATCACATCCATACAACATCTCAGCTCATAGCTCGATTCCATATCACATACACAATTCCATATACACAATAGATAAATCCAACAAAATAAGGGTTTACACACCCATCAAGCAATTCACATATAGATTAACGGTAAAACCCCCAATTATTCCAAAACCTAACTCACAGGCACTTTTCTACAATTTCGTTCTCTCTCCAAGATCATCATTCTTATAAATTAAATATATATTTTTAATCCTCAACACATATAGAATCTAATGGGATCATCAATTCCTCAAATAGAAATAATCTAATTTTTCCAAAACCTAGCTTACAGGCACTTTTCTATAATTTCGTTCTTTCTCCCAAATCATCATTCTTACAAATTAAATATATACTTCTAATCCTCAATACATGTAAAATCTAATGGGATCAACAATTCTTCAAACAGAAATAATTATAAAATTACTCATAATCTTAAGGGACTCTTCCTCTACCCAATTCCCTCATGTAACTCTACATACAAATAATCCATTTTTCCCCCGTACCTAGATAAAAAGTAGCTGAAACTAAACAAAGATCTCCTTGGTCTCCTCCTCTGAGTGCCTCTCGGTCTTCAGTGAGTGTAGAAGGAAAAGAAAAGAGCAAAGAAGAAAAGAAGAGAGAAGTGAAAAGTGTGTTTTTGGGAGTGTTAGAGTGCTCTTTTTATAGGATCAGATGTCTCCGAAACGGCCCGTTCTAGACCCTTAAATCACGAGTAAAAATCACATCCAGAACGGTCCGTTCTCAAACTAGAACGGCCTGTTCTGGGGTGCCTTTAATACTCACAATGGTCATATTTTGGAACGGCCCTTTCTCAACTCTGGAACGGCCCGTTCTCAATTAGGTGAAAAGGCCATTTCTGAAAACCGGAACGCCCTGTTCCCAACTAAAAATCATAGGAAATTTTAATGGTTTAGAACGACCCGTTCATAATCCGGAACGGCCCGTTCCGGGCTACTAAACCACCTTAATTGGGCTTTTGGCCTAGTGAAAATTTGGGTTGTTACATGCTTGCTTGTTGGTTAACTACAACACCTCTTTCCTCATTGATCCATTGTATTTTGTAAGGTTTAGGATGAAGTTTTGTAGTTAAGGCTAACTTATCAACCAATCTAGTACTACAACAATTAGAAGTAGACCCACATTCGACAATGAGAGAACAAGTACTTTCTAAGACCTTACATTTTGTTTGAAACAAGTTTTCTTTTTGTGATTGGTCAATTTCACTAGATTAATTATTAAGGAGCCTTCTAACCAACAATAAGTCTCCTTCACAAGGTAAGATTTCTTCCTCGGATTCTAAAACTTCTTCTTCATCACTTGAAGATGAGGAAGTAGCTTCATCAAGGCTACTATAGTGATCTTGGCCCTTTAAAAGCATGGTTTTCTTGGTGGGACATTGTGAAGCAATGTGCCCACGGCCAAGACACTTGAAACACTTGATGTCACTTGTTTTAGTGTCTTTGGAAGATGCCTTAAAAGATGATTTTTCTTTTTCTTTTTCTTTTTCTTCCTTGGGAGAAGGTTGGGAAGAGTGACCCTCCTTCTTAAAACTCTTGGGATAAGAGGGAGTGGAGTCTTTTCGAAAAGATTTTCTTTTAAGTTGATGCTCCACCCTTGAGCAAAGTTGAACAAGTTCATTCAAATCTCTATATGGTAAAAGTTCAACTTTGTCTCTTATCTCAAGGTTTAGACCACTTTGAAATCTAGAGATTGTGGTCCTCTCTTCCTCCCTAATCCCAGCCCTCATCATGAGCAACTCCATAGATTGCCTATATTCTTCCACACTAGAGGAATATGCCTCCTTCTTAAGGCACTACGAAGCTCATTCCAATATTGGATTTGAGGCTCATGATTTATTCTCCTTTTTTTTTCTCTAAGAAGGTCCACCAATACATAACATGCCCTTGGAAGCTAAGGGTTGCTAAAGAAACCTTCCTATCTTCACTCACTCCATGGCAAGAGAAAAGTTGTTCAACTTTCATTTCCCAATCTAAATAATTTTCCACATTATCCTTGCCATGAAATGGGGGAAGAGTGATGTTAGGTTCCTTATTGGAGGACTCCCTATGTCTATGGGGGCTTGGGGGTCTTTGATAGTAATCATCATTGTGATGACTACTATAGAAGATATCACTTGGAGGTTGGGTATGATGCCCTTCCTCCTCATGAACAATTGAGGGTATTCCAACCCCTTCAACCTTTGAAGATTTTGGGGAAGAGACTCTTGGTCTTGAACCACTAACCTCTCCTCCCACTACTAACCTAGCAAGCAATCTTTTTATTTCTTCGTTTTTTTTCCTCATTTTCTCTTTCTCTTCTTCTTAACTCTTCCTCTTTTTTTATATTTCCCTCTTCTTTTTTTCTTAGGTACTATTTTAGTTGCCTAAGTTCATCCCTAAAACTAGACTTGGAACTACAAGAGTTATGACCATGTACACTAGAATGATCACTCATCTTTGATCAAGAAAAGGTTTTCACAATTTTTTTTTCAAAAAGGGTTGAAAAGGGTTTTCACAAAGAGTGAGTGACAAAAAGGTTTTCATAAAAAGGTTTTCAAGGAGCAAGATTGGTATGAAAAGGAAAGTGTACAAAGTGAACTATCAAATGGAGGTGGACCACTAAGAATCACTTAATAACCAAGCCTTATCAAGTAAAAATCACTAAGCCTTTCACACTTTTCTCACAAAACAATTTAGCACAAAATAAAGGTGTGTGTGTGCACGGACCCTTAGTAGGCAATTGTAAGCCTTCTAAACAAAAAATTGAGGCAAAAATAAAGACCTAAGCAATTATACTACTAAAAGCTTTAAAACATGCAAAGGAAAACACTTAAAGCATATACTAGTCGAATGCCTAGGTGAAGGTTTTCAAATCACCTTCAACTACACGAAACCTAAAACCAAAATGAAGAGGTTTAGAAATGGCCAATTACAAACCAAGATAAAGAAATAAGGCCCAAATACAAGTGGCCCAAAAGAAAACAAGCAAGAATTAAGAGAAAAGAATTTAGGTCTTCAACTCCTCCAATTGGGTTCCTTCACAATGAACAAACTTTGTGTTAGTCCTCTCCAAGTGTTTAACACTCCTTTTGTATAGTGGAAATCCCTCCAAATGACTAGGTTTGGATTCGGTTCACTCCTCCACTCAAATCCACCAAAGGTTTGCTAGTTAGCTAGATAGGTTCTTCACCTACATTCAAAATGAAACCAACCCAAGAGCAAGAGTCCAAGAAAATAAAAATTGAAAATGCACAATTAGGAAAGGCTAAAATCAAAGAGAATTGATGGAGACAAAACAAAAGAGGCCAAAGAAATGACAAACTAAAATTAAGACACAATTAAAAAGGAAGCACGCAAAAGAGTAATCTTAGAATGACATTAGAATGGATTAGTGTTTAGTCCACTTGATTTAAGTCCTTTGTGAATTTGGTCCAACCACTTTTAGGGTCTCAAAATAGGTTCAAAATGTGACAAGTCCAACTCCAAAAGCAAAGGTAATGGTTCAAGTCTACAAGTCTAGCAACAAGTCCTTTTTGGTCCAAATTTTTTTTTTGAACTCTTTTTTTTTGTTTCTATTTTCACGTCAACTTTTTCTTGTTTTTAGGTCCAAATTCTTTTAATTACTTCAGCCCATTTGTTGCTTAGGTTTTGCACTTGTGGGTGGAGAGAAAAATTAGGTCAAATTCTTAAGAAAAGGAGAGGAGGACAAGTGGTGTTTTTTAGAGGCCTTTAGGGAATCTTTTTGAGTGGAATTGGTTTTGTACTATTTAGGACAAGTTGTTTTGTAACAAATTTTCAGTCACCTCTTAGATTCTTTTAGGGTTAACAAGCATCAACAAATTTACCAAATCAAGTAGAAATGTAAGGAGAGGGGGCGGTCATGCATGTGCAAGGAAACATTTACACATGGATATCAAAAATCACATAGAACATGCTAGGACTAAGTAACATGCATGAATGACTCCTAGATGGCTCCTATATGTCACGCCCACTTAGTCCATGATGAATCACATAGAACATGCATTTTTTTTTGTACCTTGTGTTGGACTGTTGGGATGATCTGCATATGCTTGAGAAACAAAAGTTTATTTACATTAGTGTCTCTTGGTTTTCATTTTCTGATATAACAGACGCCATACTTTCATTTTTCTTTAATCTGTATTGTTTCCTTGTCCTTTTCTTTGTTAAGAAGGATCTCTTGTCGTCATTTCTTCTTGCACCAAAAAAATAAAGTGCTATTTTTAATTGCAGGTTGATGGTGCAGAATCTTATTCAGTTGCAATGAAAGACGTGGGAATCAATGTTTCAGTCGAGGTACAAATGGATAAGTCATTGATATAAAAAATACATACTTACATATAATTAGTATATCTAAATAATTAGATCCGTACTTTTGGCAGGATCGTAAGAAAATTATTTTTGAGCAATCTAATGCATTAGCAGAAAGTGTAAATGGCCAAATTCTTATTCCAAAAGGTTTGCTTGATGAGGTAAGATTTGTTTGTTCCTTTTGTTCTACATTGTTATATATGTACATTTCTAATAATTTCCTTTTATATTTAATTTTAGGTTGTAAATCTTGTTGAGGCACCTTTTCCTGTGCTTGGAAAGTTTAAAGAAACCTTCTTAGATCTTCCAAAAGATCTTTTGACTATGGTGAGCACTTCACTTAAGTTGCTTTTGCCTTTTCACTTTTGCTGGGTATCCTTGTCACTTTTGATTATTAAGCTAGTTTAAATGATAATTTCATCTCGGATAGTGTTTTCATGAATTTGTTCAAGTTGATGCTGTCTGCATTTTTATTTTTTTTATTTTTTGAACTGATGTTGCAGTATACAAAATTTGCTTGTCTTTTTAATATTTAAATTGTGCGAGTGCCCTCTTTTTTTTTTTTTTTTAAAATGTAAAAAAATATGATTAGATATCTGTAAATAGAGTAACTATGTATAGCTTATCTTTAGGGTTGATATTAAGGGATTTTTATCTTTTTGTTATTTCCCTAGTTTCCCTAATTATCGTATCCCTCTTGGCTATAAATGAACCAGTTTGTGTGAGGAAGCAGACACAATTCCTGCAATTTCTATAGAAAAGTATACAGTACTCGTTAAGTAGCTCAGTCAAAAACAGAAATAAGAACAATCTTTATTGCAATTAATAGCTTCTGATCAATACCAAGGAGATATGGCATAGAAATCAAGAATGATACAAAAGTATGCTTCTCTCCCCATCCCCCCGGGCATCCAAAAGACCTGAACTCTGCCTCTCAATTTGCACTCCAAAATCCACAACCGATCTTTATTACTTTTCTTCATATTATTTTATATTCAATCATCTATCTTCCTCTCTAACCAACTGTTCAAACCAGCTAACTCACACTAACCACCTTTTCAATTAGGGATCTGCCAGCAGTATTTAACTTGTAAAATCTCTTCAAGAAACATGGAAACAGTTAAGGTAAGCATACTACTCATGAAGTTCTGTTGAAATGGTGTCTAAAAAGCACAAAGTCAACTATAAACGTATGCTTTAAGAGAGGGCAAAATAGAGATAATATCTGAATATAATAAATTACCTCGTCACCCCAGCAAACATAAATGGAACTACTACATCTCCATGCAGGGCCAAAATCCAACGGATAGGCCTGCTAAACATCACCTATATATTAAAAAGTATGAAAAAATGTTAATTTTATGTTTCCAGCTATTTCCTTTACTACAAAATAAAGACACATGATAGCATTTCATTTATTTATAACTTCATGCAGCAAAGCTAGTTGCATTTTCCAATGTTTCTTTAAGGAGTCTTCCAAATAAAATTGAGAAACAATGACAGTATTCAGCTTCCTTTCATTCAAAAACGGTCAGAACATTCACTATCTTTTCCTGCTTCTAGTACGACTATTTTACTTAACCAACAATAGGATATTTCACCTTCATTTCTTACTCATTTAAATCCCCAAGGTCAAACCTCCAGCTACAAATAATTCAAACTTTATCTTCTATGGCCATAGAACAATATTTATCTTCATAAATACGTGAAGAAATAACAACAAAACGAGTCCAAGATATCACAACTATAACATAGTTGATTATAAATATATTTACAATAAATATATCTATGTAAAAAGAATATATTAAGAATACCAATGATATAAATAAAAATGACAATCATTATAAAATAATTAAACAATATAAAAGATGAACACCTTAATAATTATTATGGATAAAAATAATCATAGGTTAAGCAAATAAATGAGGTTAGGGACACCCCACTAAATAAATACACATAAAAAATAACATAAATATATAGATATAGTAATATATAAAATTTTAAAGAGATAAAGTTATCCTTCCCCTTACCTTAGAATGTAGACTTAACAAGAATTAACTGCGTCAAAATTTAACTATCCTCTTCCTATTCACTATTCTCTCTCTCTTTCTCTCTTTCTCTCTTTCTTTCTCTCTTTCTCTCTTTCTCTCTTCTCTTCCTTTTTATTTCTCACTCTCCGTGAGCTTGTGTCCTGAATTGCATGCATGTGAAGCTATTTATAAAAGGGTGGTAATGATGACATGGTTAGCATTGAATGGAAAATTTGCTCATTTGGTTTAATTTTTAGGTTCCATTTCTTACTTAGTTACTTAGAGATAAGGTTAATAATTATAGGATAAGGTGATAAGGTGTTGGTACAACAACTGTAGATTCTTGCTAGATATTTTTTTTTAAAATAATAAAATAATAATATTTTTTTTAAATAATAAATATCTTCTTTTTTTTTACCCTTTCATAATGTTTATATGTATAAAAATTTACTTATATTAACCATTTGAAATTTTAAATATATATATATATATATATATATATCATAATATTATTTTTGAAAGAAACCAAGTTATAATAAAATTGAATACTAAATACTTCCATTTTAATTTGTTGGAAATAAAAGAAATTATAATAGATAAAAAAAATACACATATGTATTTATCTATTTATTTTAAATATGGTAATTAAAAATTTTAAAAATATAATTTTAAGAATAAGGCAATGATAAGGGAATTTATAATATTGTATGAAGAATTTCAGAATATTACAATGCAACCTTTGCCCTCCACTTGGGCCTAAGCCTTTCTAACACCAAAAATAGGTTCAATAGCCACAAAAAATACGTCTAGGTTTTTGTTCCCACCCTAATCAAATACCTTAGCCCAAAAATAAAAACCTATGATCTAAAGCACCCCATAATACAAGGGTAAAATGGGAAATACAAAGAAAATAAACCATATGGTTAAAATACCCCAAAATACAAGGGTAAAATTGGAAATACAAGTAAAATAGATCCTATGTCTAAGATACCCCAAAATACATGGGTAAAAATGGAAAATCAAAGACAAGGGCAAAATAGGCATAAAAATAAATTCTAGGCTACCAAAGTTTAGGAGAGTGATTAGTGTATTTAAGCATGTCTTCTAAGGTTTTGACTTTCCTAACATCTTCGAATCTCCTAGCCATTGGCCTAATGATGGATCCCACATGAAGCTCCATGGATGGTCCTCCATCAAAGTTGGACTTAGGTTAGGTCAATGTAAAACACCTATTTTGAACAAAAAGTGTAACTCAAGCCTTTAACCATTATACTAATTTATGGTATGAGAAAATATCCACACAACTCCCATTATTCTTAGTTTTTTTTTATCTCTCTCAAAACGACCATAATGGAATAAAAAAAGAGCAAATATTAAGGTAAAAAGGTTACATGAAGGTGAAAAAAATATTGAAATTTGTGAAATAATGTTAGAAGTAGCTAAAAGAAAAAGAAGTTTATGGTGGCTTCAATGAACAAGGTAAAGGATGGTGAGATTTTTAAAATTCAGTGGGGGCACGAAGAAGACAAAAGAGACTAGTCTTAATGGCCATTAATTTATATGAAGCATATGGGACTCAAAAGGTAGTTTAAGGGTGAAAATGATCCCTTAGAATTGCATTAAAATCACCATAATTATTCTTGAAATATAAAGCTCACATGCCATGATTGAGTATGAAACTCTAGAATTACTCTCTAGATAAAAAAAGACATATGTCTTGTTAGCTGTAACACATTACACAATGGGTAGGTGAAGAGGTTTGGTCAAATTGTTATCACGTGATCAAGGTGACTCTTTGTCTCTTAAAGGACATATGCAAGTTGACCTCTATCAATAACCTAACAAGCATGCTTCAAAAGCATGATAGGTTGAAGATGACAATTGTTTCATATTAAACTATACAAGACTAATCCACTAAATTAGTCCACTTTTACTTAAAACATTATTGGTGTAACTATCAATGAAATAATAATCATGTCAAAGTCCATAACAAGTGATCCAATTGTAAGGAGAATTCAATACTCCTTGAAACAAAGAACTCTACATCAACTAAAAGTAAACTAATACTAACATGTTACTTCTAAATTGGTAAGAACATTTCAATAAAAGGCCTTGGCCCTTTACAATTTACCTAAAACCACTCCAAAACACTTAAAAATAATTCATCATTTGTGGTGTCAAGTGCATATTTATAATATTTATTGACACTTTGCTAATATTCTTGTTACATTGCATCACCTATTTTAGTTGTGTTTGAAGAAGAAAACTACCATGATAACACTTTAAGAGTGTGTTTAGATGAAAAATTTAAATAGAATAATTCAATTTATTTTTGGAAGAATTTCAAATGTCTTGAAGTAAATTTTTTTAGATGAATAATTTATAAAAAAAATTAAAATTCAAACATATGTGAAATTTCTTAAAATAGTATAATTTCAAATTATTTTAAAAAAAGTAAGAATTTAAAATTTTCCTACTTCCATATTCTATTCAGGGGTGAGTATGAAATTGAGACTCAATCTGAACTCGAAAAATTCGACAAAAAATATTACTTTTGATTGGATTCGGACGAGTCTTATGGGTAAAACAAGTTAAAATTTTGATTTTATACTAATTATATTGGGCGAGTTCTGTTTTTAATTTTTAAACCCACTAAAAGTTGAACCCGACTGAAAATTAGATAAAGTTCAGATTTTTATTATTTTTGTTTAACTAAACAACAATGGTCCAAGTTCAAAAGTTTTTTATTTTAAATATAATACAATTATCAATTTGTAACTTATTTTTCCCATTTTTCTCAAAACCTAGATGCTTCTTTTGTCTTCTCCTTCTTCATTCAACTTCTCAACAAACACTAGTCCATTTTTAGAGTTTTTTTTGTTCCTTTCTTTATTTTTATTTGCCATCTTTCGGCATCCATTTTGATTATAACTTGTGCGACTATGATTTCTTATGGGTTTTTTTCTCTAACTTTAGATTTCTTTTGCATGTAATGACTATAAATTTTGTTATATTTTATTTTTGCTTCTCTATTTTGTGAGTTTTCATCTACGAATCTACTTATACCATCTATTGTCACCTTCGTCCTATTTTTGTACACTATTTTGAAAATGTTTTGTACCATTTTGAGCTTCACCTTTATTAAGACAACTTGATATATAAAAAGCCTTAAACCCGATTGTATCTATCTGTTCAAATTTGAATCTATTTCAACCTAAATTGCCACAAATTGAAAGCTCAATCGATCGAACATGGGTCACATTTTTTCAAAGTTGATTTACAATGAGTTGGACATTTAACACTTAAACCTGACCGTACCCACTCATTGCCCACCCCTACTTCTCTCTTTCAAAGTCAACAGAAAAGATATCAATAATTTTTTTAATTATTGAGTATTCAAAATTATTAACTATTATTTAAATATTTTTTTTAAATTATTAAATATTTAAAAATTGATTAATATTTAATTTTATAAAATTAAATCTTAAAATTTTAATATATATATATATATTTTAAATTAATTTTATCATTAGTGAAAATTAAATTGTCCT